TCAGATGGATTCTTGGAAAGTTGATGTGAGATGGTGAAGTCGTCGGCTAACACTGCTGCCGTATGTGCGTCACCTTCGCCACGGTCTGCAATATGTATTCGCACCTCAGTACGAACACAGTTCTTGAACTCCTCCATCAGAATGAGGTTCTTGAATTTCTTGAAGTCTGTCTCGGTGTTGGTTGCGTGCAGCCACTTGTCCAGGAGCCGTTCCTTTTCCCGGAGGAACTCAACATGAGTCTGGCCATCACGTTTCCACAGTTCCCTAAACTTTTTACGGTATGCTTCGGGGACACATTCATAAGCCTTAAGTATTAATGATTTTACTAGGTTATAGTCCCCGCGCTGTTCCGCATTCAGGGACACAAAGACTTCAGATGCCCTTCCGGTCAAGGCTGGTTGAAGTAAGGTGGACCACATAGTTTCAGGAATTTTAAAATTTTGGGCAGTTATCTCAAACTGCGCAAAATATTGGTCAACCTCTTTTTCTGTAAATTTAGGGATTACTTTTGCAAATTTAATTGCATCGCAACCCTGACCGGCTGGAGGCGTGAGTCTATTTTCCATTGCTCCTAAATTGGCCGTTATTTCCATTTGTTTTAACTTTATTGTTAGCTCTCTATCTTTTTCTTCTTTCTCTCTCTGAGCTTCTAGCTCCAGCTGTTTAAGCTCTCGTTCTTTATCTAGCTCCAGCTGTTTAAGCTCACGTTCTTTTTCTCTCTGGGCATCTAGTTCCATTTGTTTGAGCTTTAGTTGGAGCTCCATACTTGGATCAGTCGGTTGTGTGACTGAGGCAAGTTCATCTTCAGATAACATGTCTTCATCCACAAAGTGAACGATGATCATGTCTCGTATGGTCTTTTTTACGGCCGAATGAGCTACATTTATTTCTAGAGCTTTAGCAATGGAAAATAGCTCCTTCCTAGAACATTTGTCTAATGCCTCTACTGATGGGTTTTCAACATCAAAATCCATTTTGACACAGGCAAAATACAACACTGATTTTTATAAAAATTTAAGCTTAGTGCACACACTAATGAAAAAAAATTGTAACCAGCTCTGTTGTTGGTATCGTAAAATGGTATCGTGTAATCAAATTTAGCTGAGTATATTTTTATAAACAGTGGGTCAAAATCCACAGAAAAACACTCAATTTATTATTGGTGTAATAAAAATTATGGATTAAAATTATCCTCGGAAAATCCCACAATTTGTTAAAATTGGGGTCTAATGAGAATAAAATATGGATTCGGTTATCGCGGACGATGCCCCCAATTTGTTAGAATTGGGGTCTTGAGAAAAATAATAATATAGAGTCCGCTATATCCGGGACGAGCAACCCAATTTGTTACGCACTGACTTGTATTGGGAGAAATTAATCTCCTATTTTAATTTTAATTGGCTCGTTGTAAACAGTGCCTAACAAAGGACGATACCATATAATCAACAATATTAAAGATACGACCCAAAACAGTTTCTAGTTACAATTAATTAAGATTTATTATGTCTTAAGATAATTACAAAATAAAATAAAATAAAATTACAATCTTCAACTTACAGTATGGCAGATGTCGTACCGGTACACAGTTAATACAATTAGAAATAATGATGCCAATAAATAATGCGAAATAAACACATATAAGTAGGAGCACACAAATACACAAGAATAAAACACGCCTCGTAGTGTTAAGAAAATCTATCTGAAATCTCCGTCCCTCGTCCGTGCCTGTCAATCCCTTATATAGGTGGGTCTACCGACGCCCAAGCCCTGCCTTCGAGACATTTCGAGAAAAATCCCAATCATTCTACCAAATACTATTTGGAACAGATTAATTATTTTTATTCGTTGGCGGCGTCAACAAGTTACTTCAAAGGCCTAAGCCACACCCCTTTGTGAACACAGCGTCTCATGCGGGGTCAATCAGAGGGCACGCACGAGAAAATATGATGTAAACAAGCTCTCTATAACAATATTTTTAAACGTTAAGTTTTTTTATTACTCTATAAAATTGACAGGATTTTTGGTATGAAAAATAAGTAAAACGTATTACATGTTAGAAATACAAAGATAACATTTGGTGTGGTCTATTAACAATTTAAAAACCTATCAATTATAGGCCTATTTATTAATATTATTTTAAAAAAGGGGGAAACATTTTTGTCACACAAGGTTTTTAACTCGAGGAAATTTTGCAAAGTTTAAAGTATGTTCTTATAAGATTATTCTAATTTTCGATAATTTTAATTTGATATTGTTTGAAGACACTTAAATAAAATAAATTTAAATTTGCAATGTTAATGACGCGATTAAAAAAACAAAAACAGATGCTTGGGTTTTCCCAATAAATGTGATTGTAATAATTAGATGATAATTTATTGATAATAAAAATTTTGATAAAATGCTTAATATAGTTTCTTAAATGTTATTTTAATAGTATCTAATATTTATAATAAAACCCTTTGACATATACTTATATATAAGCAGATATATTTTATTTTTATTAAATTTAAATTGATTCAATTTCAGAAAAATAATAGAAAATCCCAATAATTTTTTTAAGAATCCGAAAGCATTTAAATCGATTCAGATTTTTAGAGCATATGGCCGGCAGGCCAGCACCTACTTTGCGGCCTGCGAAGTAATGAAATATTCTTTATTACTAGAATAAATGACCCGATGTAATCGGGATAATAACGGTAGTTCCATTGGGATCATTTCTACCTGGTATTGCAAAAACTCATCACAATTCCTAACTTTAAAAATAATAATATTTACGTTTACAAAATCATTAAGTTTTGAGAAATATTTATCTGCTATATATTATACGTCTAACCTATTCTCTTTCACGCCCCTAAATTACATTTTTCCACCTAAATATGACCTTAAATTACCCAGTCTAAATTATCACTAATTATATCACTTTTGTCACTAAAGAAGTTTAAGAAGTTAATTGAGGGATGATTTCTACGCTAGAGAAATAATTCAGAATTGTCCTTTGTCAGGCCCTAGATTTAAATTTTTTTTCTCTAAAAATTGGAAAAAAACCATAATGATATATATTTAATATTAAAGGAATTTGATATATTGATCTCTTCATCAAAAATGTAAACACACTTTTTCCTTATTTTTTAAATTATACATTATCAGAAAATCATAAAACAAAGAATTCTTTTATCTAAAGAAGAGTCTCGCAATCGTTTTTCATGCCTATAACAAACTTGAGTATCTTTTTTAAAATTTAAATTGTTAATCTCATAAAAATACACAACTGGTTACTTTTTGCAAAGTAAAAACAAAAATATATTTCCATTTTTTGCAAGTAAATATTAACCCATCTCTATTTTTCTAAATTAATTTTTCTCAAGTGTCTGAAATGATAGGGTTTTGATATTCATGGATATACTTATATAAATGTATCCACGATTTGTTAACGCCTTTAAGAATTTTCTTAATTGGTAAACTTATGTTTATTTGTAAAAAGAGAATGTAACATCTCTTTTTTCACAAATGCAATATCATAGGAGTTAATTATATTGTTATCCTCGTAAAAATGTACACATCTTATTTCCTACCTCCAACATGTATTTCCCCAAGAAAATTAATTATTTATCAAATTCATTAATTTTTTAAAGACTATCTTGTGCTGCCTTGGGTAAAATGAACATAGACATATTTGTAAAAAGAGAATGTAACATTTTATTTTTTTTTAATTGTAATACCATAGGATTTAAATATATTGTCATCCACGTGAAAATGTACACATCCTATTTCCTACCGCAAATATATATGTACCCAAGAAGGTTAATTATTTATCAAATTCATTCCTTTATTTTGAGACGTATCTGGTGCTGCCAGCAGCAACGTGACCAACCCCTCCCCGGATTTACATAAAATTAGAAAATCTTCCACCGGATTGAAGTCCGTTCCATACCCAAACTAAAATATTTTGCACTTCATACCTTTCGTTATTTGTATGAGTTATAAGTAGATTAGTGAATGCTATTTGGCTAGGGAGTTGCGCTGCACTGATTGCCTAAAACAGCATTTTCTAATTTGAAGTATATTTAAAGTTTAAGTTTTTATTATGTTAAATGTTACAAATACAAAGCTAAAATTTTTTTGTATTTTAGTAACAATTTAAAGAGCAATCAATTAAATGTATAAATTGTACTTTAAACTTTAAAGAAGGGGGAAATACTTTATCAATTTTTTTAACTGGCGGTTATTAAATCAAAGAAACTGTAAGAGTTTTGGCTAACATTGGTGATTGGTTCTATGACATCATTTGGGTGTTTATTAAGAAGAATTTAATTTAATTTTTATTTCCCAATATTAACAACGCACTAAAAAAATGCACTAAAAAAACTGATGTTTGGGTTTTCCAAATAAATGTGTTTTTGATGTAATTCTTAGATCAGAATTTTATTATGATTTTTTTTTTCATAACTTTTGAATTCTGATAAACTGCTTAAAACAATTCCTTAGTTGCTACTTTAAATGTATTTGTAATTTATAATTATAATACTTAAACTTTTACTAAAATAAAAGTGGATTTAAAATATTTTTTTGGCATTTAAATTTATTCAATTTCTGTAAAATAATAGAAAATAACCATGATTGTTTTTAGGAATCCGAAGGTACTTAAATCGTATTGGTTCTTTGGCGTTATGTCACTATAGCTCATTCTTTTATATATATATTATTATTTTCTTAATAGCTTTGCCCCCTGTCCTATTTTTTTCAGCCTGCACAAGTCTTTCATAAAGTATTATGGCCTGCCTTACATTTTGAGTTGTGCAGTCTTTCCTTAGCTCATTCTTACATATATATATATACTTATTTCAGCATGCTTTGAAATATCTCATAGAAAATAAAATGCACATGATAAATCAAATGATGGAGTTTGTATCTGATTTCATGAAAATTTGATTGCTAAGAAAAGAAAAATAAAGAAATATTGTATATTTATGAATCAAATATTGAAAAATGATTTTTTAAAGAAAAACTTTTCTTAACAGTAATGTACAATTTGGTGAGAAATACTTCCAAAAAAAGACAAAAGTGCACAATAGAACAGTGATTTATTGGAGTAAATGTTATAGAAAGAATATAATAAACGATCATTACTATTGAATGTATTGACTGTTGTGCCGTGGTTTAGTTAGCTGGTAAATTTGAAATTTGATGTTGAATGTATAGGTTTAAACAAAAACATTAAAATTTTTATAAAATATCTCACCATACATTGAGTTCTGTATGGAAGCTTAATGTAATGCTAAATTGCCTAGAAAAAATAGAAGAATGACAATCATTAAAATAAATTCCTTTCTTTCTTTCAGTGTAAAGGAATTTCTTACTGAATATTGAGATTCAAACACTTAAAATACTTCTTAAATGAATAATGGTACAAACTGAAATAATTTAAATGTAAATAAGGTTTATAATTGGAAAATGTTAGTACAATTTAATAACAAGATATAAACAATTTAAAATGGCTCTCTACAAACATTAAAGATATTTCATTTGATTTTCAAAACAAAAAAGAATACATATTAAAAGCAAATTTGAAAAAAGGACATTTTTTTAATAATGACATCTTAAAAATTTTACAGTACAAGATTTGTCCACACTTTAATGGCTCAATTTGTGGCCTAACAATTCTACACAAAACAATTCTTCACACCTAATTGAAAATTGTTGCAAAATTTGTTCAAGTGAGAAAATTTAGGAAAACATTTAGTTTTTCATTAATTCTTATTTTTACAATTCATGACTTACTATACGCAAAAACCTGCATTTTTTTATTATTAATTAATGTATCCAATTTTATATTAACTTTACTAAACACTTAACAAAATAACAAGATAAAACAAGCTGAGCAATGTATCTGAAGCGGCATGCATCTTAACGGCTTTCATATATCTTAGAAAAAACCCATCATTGTATCCATCTCACAACAATCAGTGGCCCATTCAGAGCATTTACCTTACCTTGTTAGAGTTTAATATTTTGAAAATGCAATGAACACATTACTATGAATACTTGTTTAACATTATAACACAGGTCTAAATGCGCATTAGAATTTTATTTTTCGGCACACATTAAGTGAGTTCAACTATATACAAAAATATCAAAATATTGAGATGTAAATTGCTTAACAATTACACTTTTTTTTCTGTGCTTAGATAAATGAAAATGTTTCAATCCATTACTTTTGGATTAGTTGCACAAATTCAGTCAGTGATAGCTTGTTTGGGTGTATATATAAAGATAAATAAATGATGGGTGTGTTGGGGGCGACCTTTTGAGAGTTTGCCCTGGGCAGCAATTAATCAAGGAATGCCACTAATTCCAGCACATAAAAATTATATTCTTTAAACAGCATTGGCTCCAAATTTATATTATCTGAGAATGTATGTAAAGGACTGTAAATCACAGGATTTCTAATTTCATATATTTAAGAACAATTAACACTCTAGGGCAGGGGTGGCCAACCCAAAAGCCTTTGCAGGTTTCCTTGAAAACGAGAAAACTGTTCCTGGGTCGCATGTCAATATATATTTTTAAAAAAGAAAAAAACCCACCCATTTAATGCTGTATTACTGTGTAAAAATGTTTATATACATATGCTTAACGCACATAATGAAATTGTAAATAAAAAAAACAAATTAAAGTAAACTTGTAATATTTTATATTTTCTCTCAATTATTTTTTTAATCTCAATTTCTTTGTCAATTGAATGAAGAACAAATATGCTTAATATCCACAAACAGTATGATAAATCAGGCAATATTTGATAAGGTGGGCCGCAATCTGCCTGAGGTCGGCCACTCCTACTTTAGAGGAACATATCAAATAGACATGATTCACACAAAAATTAAATTTGAGGTTTTTAACACCAACACTAAGTGCTGATAATCTCTATGCTACCTATGTGTATTGTAGCATGCTACCAAAATGATTGTCCTTATATTTAACAGGTTATTGGACCACACAGTAAATACAAAGTAATATTTTTTTTTTTAATTACCGTAATAAACATCTTCAAATATTTTATAAACAACCAAACATATTTACCAAGTGAAAAAAACTATGTATGCATAAGGTACATATCTAGAGACCTCAGAATAAAAGTAATAAAAGTTAACATTTATTTACGATGCAAAAAAAAACAAGCAATTTTTTTTTATCTCTGATTCTGATTATGTCTACGACAAAAATCTGAACCTGGGGCAGCTGGAAGGCGGCACTGTGATCCTGCTACAGTGTTGGATAAACAACGCGAAGAAATGGAAGGTGTGGAAGACCTGTAAAACAAAAAATACTTTGTTACATGCATTATTTTAAAATTTGTATCCAAAAATATGAAATCATTTCAAATACTCTGCTTAACCTACTTTTTATGTAAATTGTCTTATTTGCCTGAGCAAAGAGATACGGCTCCTTTCTTAAACATATATATATTTTTAAAAGAAGAAACAAATTAATTAAATGAAACAGTTAAGATAAAAAGATGGTTATGGGTAAGCATCCTTTAAATTAAAGGCTATTAACCAGGGGTGCCTCTATGGGGATGCACAAGACACTGCCAGGTGTTATGGGTAGACATGAAAAGCATAGGTTTTATTTATTAGCAGAAGCAGATGTTTTTTATTGTCTAATTTACTTTTTTGGCACATCATCTGTACTGGTTTCATTTATTTTATTTTTTGTTTCTAGCATTTAAATAAGTTAATTTTTAAAAAATAAAAGCTATCATAACTCAATTATTTTCATAATAAAACATTTTATTACGATACTTTTTATCAGAAAGTGGGTGGAGGTGGGTGGCTGGTGAGGAAAATTTGAAATCGATTGGGTGTGTGGCCCGGCTTATGGGTAAAGAAACCTTGCTTTAAATTATAATGTCCGAAAGTTGAGTATTTTTTTTATTATACCGGTAATATATTTAATGTCGTCTCCAAGGTAGCTTCCACCGACCTAGGGCATTAAGTACTAATGAATTATAAGTTTAAAGTTAGTAAAGATTCAGATTCAGCCATCTTCAACCATGAGGATCATCAATATCACTTTCTGCATCAATTTCAATTCTCTATTTGTCATTCTCATTGATAGTTTTGTCATCTAGGCTTGTAAATAAATTTATTAGCAGTTTGAAAAGTGATGCTTACATTACATTAAACTTTGTTACAATAATAAAAATGGATAAAAACAATCAGAGTTTTTAAAAGGAAGAAAATCATAGAATTTAACTTGAACAGTCCTGTGTATATTATTTTGGTTGTTAGGTAACCTGAAACATATAATGCTAAAAAAGTGTCTAAATGGTGGGTTGAGAAAGTAAGTATAGAAAAAGTGACCAAAATGGTAAGTCTGAAAGAATGTGTATGATGAATTTGGAGAGGAGAGACCTAGATGACCAATCAGAGTCCTTCTAAAAGAAGCATCCTGCTCATTGGTCAGATTAATTAAATATTGATTTACCCATAAATAGTTTAACAATTTAAAAATTAATTTAGAATATCAATAAATGAGTATAGAATAAGTTCAACAATTGCAATTTTTAAATGATTCACCTAATGCCTTGCTACCAAAATTTTAGGGAGCAATAAAAACCTACTTAAAAACTTTCCAGACTGTAAACAATATGTGCAATGTAATCAAACAAATTTCAATTAATTAGGATCAATAAAAGCAGAGTCAATAAAAAGAGAGTATCTTATCTTATGTCAATACAAATTACACAAACATGCCGTCATGCTTTTTGAGTCATGAATTTAATTTAGTTCTAATACTACTGATCTATATATAATTTGAAAAAAACAACAACATAAAAGTATGAGCCTAAAATACAACTGAAAATTTGCAAATATCCAACCTTGATTCGTTTGCTAAAGGTGTTGATGACCTTGATGAATTTCGAGAGGAGAGACCTAGATGACCAATCAGAGTCCTTCTAAAAGAGCCAACATCCTGTTCATTGGTGAGATTAATTAAACATTGATTTATCCATAATATAGTTAAAACAATGAATATATAACAATTAAATCATTAAAATCATCTTGTGCAGCAAAAAAAAAAATTTGATTACAAAATAAAAAGCAACATAATTTTCATAATAAAACAATATTAATATAACTTAAATCTGAAAATTGACATTTCAAAAATGAGTTAATGAGACCAACTGTCTTGAGTTTCTAATGAAAGTCCAAATTAATCTGGACATCAACTCCAAGTTGTTATAAATTTTTTTTACAATTAGCTTGTCCCCAATGCTAGCACTAAAAGTTTAAAAAATTACATTGAAATAAGGACCTGGAGAATACTGTTGTCTAACTGGTCAGAAACCTCTGATCGACTCCTTGGCGGTGTGGAAGGACGAAAACTTGTATCATGAAGAACAGATCCGTTGTGGGTTACAACAGGAGAGGGTGGAGAATGCTGGGATGCTTAAAAATAGAGACCAAAAATAAATATGTGAAATTTTTGAAAGAGGAAAAACTATTAAAAAAAAATAGTATTTAATTTATATTTTACAACGATGCCCCCACTAATATATGACATTACTTCTAAATTGAATAAAATTGTACACTACCATGGGGCTGTGACAACTATTATGCAAGTTGTGCCTTTGTGATGAGCATCCATTCCAGGGTAGGTAGGGGATATGGGGGGAGAACATTTTAAAATAAATATAATATTGGATGCAAAGAACACTGTCAGAATTTTTTTTTAAATGATGCAAATAACAATATCTTTTTTAAGTATCACCATACTTGTTTCAGAAACTCTTTTGAGGAGATCTATTAACAAGCGCATCTCATGGGGTGGCAACAGTTCCGGGTGACTAGATCTTGAAAGAGTGATGGCATTTTGACTCTGATAAGCAGTTCTTGGGATCGTGTTGAATTTTAAACCTATATAAATTAATAGTTTGAAACCTACAGGAAAGAAAATGGAATAAAATTACCAAAATTATTTACGTTTTCCCTGAGAATTCTTAATTAAAAACTATTAAGGTACTTTACAGACAATGGGAATAATATCTGACTTAAGAAGATATTTTGAATAATCTTTTTCAACTTCGTGTAAGGTGGTAGTGAAATGAGTGATCTGGTGGTGATGAAATGAATGCTCTGGTAGTGATGAAATGAGTGCTTTGAGTAATAAAAACATTTGAAAATCAAATTTATTTCATATATATTAGTCATAAGCAAACAGTAACTGACCCTACAATATTCCTTGTCAACTATTACAGTAACACATTAAGACTTAAGGTCAGAGGTCCAAAAAGCCTTATATTTATAAAATCTACATGTTTTATCTACAAGTACTCACCAAAATATATGGACAACAAAAAGACAGTTAGGCCTGCAAAGTCTAAACTGTTTTGGTAATTCAGCTCAGCTGCAACATTTCCAACTATTATCACCAACATGGCCAACCGAAAAGGGAGAGAAATTTCAAGAAAAGTCGCAGTGACCACCAGGAGGAAGAAATAGGCAATATGCAGTAGGCAGCATGACATGTCTGCCAGTTTGTTATCTGCAAAGATGTTAAAATTTTTTTAGACTAAGTGCGTCTCTGGACATATCAAATATCAAACAAGGAAAGAGCAAGAGTCATCAGACCTTATCAGAAGGTACAGTTGGATGTGACTGGAATATCAAGATGTTTTATAGCTAAAGCTATTCAATTTATTTAAAATAAATTAAGTGTTTTAAAATGTAAATACCAGAAAGATGTGAATGAATTATAAAAGAGGAAACAGTGGCATTAAATTAAATTGTACTAAATTGTCCAAAGCTATGAAATAATTCAATAGCATTAATTAGAGCAAGTAAATCTTTTCTTATATATTCTGGATCTACTCAATAATCATTGAAATATTAGCAGTTCATAAATATTAAGCAATACATTTCTTCTTTTATTAAAATAATTCATAAGCTAAACTTTTAATGTCTGGAGTAAATGATATGTGACATCCATCAAGTTTTTTTGTTATTAATCATTATGCTTCTCAGCATGGATCACTCAGAAATATTTAAAAACAATTTTGTCACCTTGAGCCAGATAACAGATCAATTGCTGACTGAAATCCATACCTGCACCACCTAGAAGCTGTGTTATCCAGGAGATTTTCTCATCAAGATGTTCGCCTAATGTTGATAGCTCAGACATGACATGGTTGATGGTTCCATTCATTTTGGAAAGGTTGGCTGACATCCCAAAGTACAGTGAGTCAAGCTGTTCACACTTTCTCAACAACTTTTCAAGATTTAACTCTGAAAAATTTCATTAAGAAAAGAAACAAAAATAATCATCTTTAAAAAATTTATACCACCAATTATTACCCCCCCCCCCAACCTAAAAATCATACTGAACTATGGGTTGTTGTTTTTTCTTTTGCATCCTCTGTATCAATATTTCAATTCCATTAGTAGTCCCAAATTTTAAAATGAATCTTAAATAACAATGTTGAATTTAAATCTTTTAAAAAGCTTTAACCAAGGAGAATGCATGAACTAACCTAATTTTTTAACAGAAGCCTCTGCGCTGTCTTGAATGTCTTTCAAATCTTGCAAAATTCGTTCATGCTTTTTGTGTTCAACCTCTTCTCTTTCTTTTATTTGACGAGCTGTAGAATCTATTGTTTCATAAAAAATATATTACATTTATTTTAAAAAGTGCTAAGTAATATTATATAGTTGTTTTTTTTAAAAGTCACAACCTTCTAAATACATTAAATATTTTTTAATGTTTATCTACTTAGATCAAGACATAACAATCAGGTTTAAAAAAATTTAACCACCCATTTATTAAGATAATTCTTCAAGATCTACCAAGTTTGTCTTTGATATTTTCTGTTAAAGCAGCCAACTCCTTGTTTCCTGATGCTATTAGAGCCTTTTCATGCAATATCTCTTGGACATTGACAGCTATGTGCTTGAAAACATCATCATGTGCAGCTCTCAGGGCATGTTGTGTGGACAGGAGATCTTGCTGACTTTCATACAACTTTCGGACTGTCTCAGAGGTCAATGACTGTAACTGTTCCTGGCCTGACTGCATCAGATTATAATAAGTTTATATTTTTCATTATTGTATAAATAGTCCCAATTAGAAACAATATACTTTAATGTTACATGTTCTTTAAGGTTCATCAAACTCAGGAAATAATATTTTGGAAAGAAGCAAGCTTTGGGAAAAACTGACATTTTAAAAAGCTGTTATAAAAATTTAGCAGATTTGGCAAGAATTTTATTTTCATCTCCTTAACAATAATACTTGCTTAAAATATCTATGCTTTGTTATAAATGTTATTAATTTTTCAAAAATTTGCTTTTACTTATCGTGAGCATTATTTATATTTGAAATAAAACTATTTTTACATTATTAATTTCCATAATGGGAAAGAAGTATAAACTTATGAAACTGACCCAACCTTGATATCAGTCAATGTTTTGATTTGGTCACTTGCTGCTGACACAAGCTGGTTGACTGTAACTTCCGTCAGTCTTCTGAATTGCACCTGCTGTGTGGCATAGCACATTGCTCTAGCTCTATTGCCAACAATTTGATAGCTATTCCAAGTGGTGCCATCCATTGACTGGGTGCACTCTGCTAGAGTCTGCCATAAAATAAATGAGATTTAATAAAATTCATATGAAGAAAACTTGAAGAGTAAGAACATCTGAGGCAATATAAAGGTATTTTTAATTTACTAATATATATATATATATGTTTCATTTCTATCTCTATTTTTGTAACATTAGCAAACTGCATCAATTGATGCATATACATAAAACATCATTGGTTTAGTTTATACCCAGTAACTTTATTTAGGATATAAATTACTAATTTTTTTTACTTGTATAAATTTTCAACATTTTATTCCAATACCCCATTATTTGAATTGGTATTTCTTAAATAAAGATCTTCAACATGTAATATAAAGAATCATGCATTTTTTAAATTAAGGTTTGAATGCTAATGACTAATGCATGTAAGTACTGTTAACTTGCCATTGAACTTGTACATGAATACACTTGTCGATTTTCAGCTTCTGACTGACAGTTAAGCAACTGCACAGAGAGTTTTCCAAGTTCCTCTTCTGTTAATTCTCCACATTTTTTTTTCAAATGGTAGATGACCTGATTTTTTAAAAATGGAAAAAGAAAATGTTTAAGACAATTTAATATATTTTAAGTTATTTTATAGTCTGTTCATTATTAAAACTAATCTCTAAAACAACATCCCAAAATGCTACCAATCTGAACTTTGCATACAGATAGTTTTTATTTTTCATGGTTACAGTTTAGCAATGGCACAATAAAAGAAATATATTTAATGTATATTATTATGTATGGGCATGGGTAATCATAGAGTTCAGCGTCCCATATATAATTTATATCTATATATTTATCAATTATTTTACTTTACTTCCTGTTGCCTAGAATTTATTAAAGTTAATGATATATATTTTTTTTAAATGGATAGCTTTCTGCAACATCAGTCAGAAATATACTATACTGCGAAAACATTGCATTGCAATCCAATCCTTGCCCTTGACAACTAATGAGGCTGGCAAAGTGTACAAAGTAAAGCGCATTTGGGGAGCCTGCACTTGGTTAGTCACATGCCTCTGTATACACATATCTTTTGTTAGAATTTAATCACATGCCACTGTATACACGACATATCTTTTGTTAGAATTTCAGGTATCAAAGTCAAAGAGGATAATATCCAAACCTCCTGTGCTATCTGCTGAGCTGTCAGTTACTGCCCCAATGCTGCCAATGGTATTATTTCCTGGGGTGTGTGTGGTCTCCCAGCCATAATATCAATTTAATAATAAATAATAATAATAAAGTGTATTTCAAAAACACGCTTCATCCCCAAAGGCAATAAAGAGGGTAACTTTTAACATAAACATGGTCATGTTAGTGTTTGTATTTTAAAAATTAAAATCATGTCTCCCGCTCATTACTTTAATTTTATCACCTAAACATGAAGTAAAGTAATAAGTCATGACCCACTAAGAGTACAAGGCCTTATCGCAGGTTTGTGTCGTCACAGGAAGGAGGCCTTTGGTAGCAGTCTGAAGCTTAAGTTATGCCTCGCTGTGTAGTCTGCTAGGGCTTTAGTGATTCGATTTAAAAACTATTCTTTGAATGTCAACTTAAATGTATATTGATTTAAACTAACATCAGCTACTTCAAACGTGTTTTAATAAATGAACATATTTTGAGTTGAACGGTAACTAATTATTTTATATTTATGTACTTCCCGTAAATCGAATTATGTAGGTCAAAACATATTGTCAAGTATCGTCTTATATTATTATTTAGGACTAAGAAAAATACTGTTTATTTTTAAAAAACAACACTAAAAACTGGTACAGACGACAGAAATACTTTTCAATACACAGAAATTTAAAAGGTGTAAATAAAAAGAAATTAACATGAATTTGACATTTTTCTTTTATTTTGTCCTACATTTACAACAGGGGTCTCAAACTCAAATTATCCGAGGGCCGCAGGAGGTAGAGTCTGAGTGAGAATGGGCCGCATCAAGTATTCCACACAAAAAAAGTGATTACAAATTCAATAAACTACAACTGTTACAATCTGCTCAACCTTTAGTAATAAAAAATAAAAACATTAAGGGTTCTCAAGAACTAGGTTTCACTTTCTTCCTACTACTGCTTGTTGCCAGAGACCTGGCAGTGCAAGTGACCATGCTGACAGGTTCGGAATTTCCTTCACTCGTAAACAATAGCGGCAATTTTAATAGGATTCTTTGATACTGTGTCAGATTACTACGATTTACACAATTATGGTTGTGCATTACCCACTAACTGACTTTTTAAAATTTTGAATTATGTATAGTATATATAATATTCGAAGCGTGTTTTCTCAAAACTGCACTTTGGCCATGTTTGTCTCATAAAATGCTACAAATTAAAAATTATTAGTCCGATTTTAAAACGGTTTTTACCATTATAATCAACGTCCAAATCTTTACAAACATAATAAAAATCAGAATTGTATCCCTGCTGTGATGTCACGTAAATTCGCACACCCTGTGCTCAGGCCTTGAGTTCTCGTAAGTTGTGAATGTGTATGACGCTCATTAATTTAATTTTATCTCCTAAACACGAAGTAAAGTAATAAGTAAGACTGATTTTTTAAAATAAATATAATAAACTTAAACATTTAATTTTAGTATTTAGGAAGCTGAACTCCATGATTACATGTGCCTATGCATGTTTTCATTTTCAAAGAAAAAGCTATTAAATAGGCTGGACTTACAATATTGTAACATGCGTCTAAAGGTGACATATCACTTAGAGTGCGAGCATAATCTAAAAACTTTTCATCTGAAGACAACACTTCGAATCGTATGGTGGGCTTTATTTCTTCTGTTTCGGTGGATGCTTGTCCTGTATCTTTTCCGTCACCAAAAAGCCATTCAAGCATTGCATGCGAAGGATTAGTCAAATTGATAAGTAAAAAGAGTACAAAAACATACAAGCAAAATGTGTGCTTCATGTTTTATATTATTAAGATCCTAATGGCAAATATTATACTGTATGCTAGCAGCCTATCCATACACTCTTCACACCCTAGTTGAATTTGAAGCCCTGAGACAAAAGATCGTATTGAATTCGAAAGCGGAAGTAACAATGACTGAATTACAAACAAGACATATTATTGGCTGGAAGATTGAGCACTATGCCTGGTAGCAATAATGAATTTCTCATCATAGTACCAGATGGCAAGGGTGTAGCATGGGGGTTGCGGACCGCACCGGGTGACACCCAATTGAAAAATTGCATATCTACAGAGCACACACTGCTCGGTCTAACGGAATTTCATAAAAGGATAACCGACCACACGTTAATTTTCCACACATGTAACTAATCCCAATGATGCGTCAAAAACATAATTTTGACTATTATTCAACGCCAATTGAAGTGTTCGGTAACTTTCATAAATGACAGGAAGCAATATTTATCTTAATTACTGAGAAATAAAGCTTTCCAATGAACCTAAATATGATATGGTGGGATGATTCTAGGTAAATGAATCGAATCGGTAAAAATTAAAAACATTAAACATGAATTTACCCATTTTTAGGGTCAACAAAATAATATTTTACAAAATTTTCTAATAACTTTTAATAATTAATTTAAATTGATTTAATTTTTTTTTAAATTTTATTTGAAACCAAATCTATCGAAACCCAGAAATACTAAAAAAATAAATATTTGCGCCGATTCGTCACCAGCACCAACATTAACTAGAGCACGATTGTCGCACAAGTTCTTTTACATGGTGTCTGTGATTTCACGTTTATCTGCTACCTTTACCTTTGGGATGATCTATTTGGGGAAGTTAATCTTACACAGCAGTATCTGCAGACTAAAGGTTTTGGTCTTTACAAAGTTGTGACCAACTTAGAGGCCTTAATAAGATTGTTTCTGTACGAGAAGCATTCTCACTTTGTGGAACATGATATTGAAAATGTACTTTTAAAATCAGACCTATGTGGAAATTCGGTAGAGAGAACACATAGGAAGAGAATGAAAGAAAAACAATTAATTGATGGACTCTCTCTCTCTGTCTCTCTCTCTCTGTGTCTCTCAATCTCTCTCTCCCTCTCTCTCCCTCTCTCTCTCTCCCCCTCTCTCTCTCTCTCTCTCTCTCTCTCTCTCTCTCTCTCTCACCAGGGGATAGTCAAGGCTTTCTGATCTGGCTCTACTATCAGTTGAAAGTGACAATTTGATCAAGTGATTGACAGATTTGAAACTTTGAAGACCAGGAAAGGAACATTTTTAATAAAGTAAATTTAATGTAAAAAATAAGTTTAACTTAATGTTGTTACTTCTTCTTCTTCTATATTTTGAGGGCCCAATGTATTGATCATTCTGGCTCCTTTAAATTTTTAAATACAGTTCTTAAATACATTTACCTCCTTAACTTTAATTACTTTCTTTTTGCTCTTGTCATTGTTATACTGTGGACTTATTTTAACGATAACAAATCCATCTTGGAAGTCGGGGGGAGGGGGTGACACCATCAGCTTACCGCATCGGGTGACACCGATCCTAGCTACGCCACTGCCACATGGAGCACATGGTCCTCACAAAAAGTATACTAATGAATAACTATCACTTATCAACAAATGCTACTCTCACTGAATACGCCGATAAAAACAAATGCACCATCATACAAAGAACAGTAATTCACTGTGCTAAATTATTACCTTAAAAGATATTCAATTACTTTTAAGTCCACCGCCCAGGTGATCATTTCATGGTCATTTGCAATTATTGAAAAACATTTTATTGAAAGGTTAAACTTGTTTTATTTAACAATCAAAGATGCAAAATTTGATTTGTGGCACCGCACATCGTCCCCCTTATTTCATTTTGAAATTGAGGTTATGACAGAGCGATTGATTACATATAAATTTTATATGTAAATATATGGAAAAGCATGTAGTGGCACTAGAGGCATTAAGGTCTGAAAAGCCATAGGCCTAATGTGTTTTTGGGGTATTTGGAGAGAGAAAGTCTAGTCGTACTTTTTTTTATTCCTTACTTGAATTTATTTTCTAGGAAATTTCTTGAATCTTTTTGTCTAAAATCTCAGATCATGTTAGGATTTGTGATTCCAAATAATTTTTTTTCGAAGCCCGGCATTTTTATACTTCTCTTTCGTGATCCACTAAAATTGTATTACTTGTTATGGCCTGTAGGCTGTTGGGGCATATGCCTACTGGCTCACGCGTACTGGTTCCTAAAATTATAAAATTTTTGAGAACAAGTTGTTGAATAATCCAAAAATCGATAAGAAATATGTAGAATATGTTCCTAAAGATTTTCTGACCTAACAGAGCTGCTTCCTGGAAATTTGGGGGTGGGGGGGGGCATCAATGTCCTGACAGTTTTTAATTTTTATATTAAAATAAATGTACTCATATTAAAATGTACGTAAATCCAACCAATGCCTGATAATTAATTTTTGAATGAGATTTTTTATGCTTTAAAAAAAAAACCTATAAAATGTCAGGTTTGGAAACAAAAGATGATAATTGCCTTCTCAGATCAGAGTTATTGACCTTTCAGATCAGAGTTATTGACCTTGTCCCCACAAGTTTTCCTTTACCAATCTGCCTTATTTAGGGGGCTTTTTTTTTTGTATTACACTATTACACAATCTCAGACGTGCTTAGATAAACATGTAGCAGCAAGCAATAAACCAACTCAAACCTCGCTTGCTTAACTAACATCCCATGCATGCCTACTAGTGTTATAAAAAACAAAACAAAAACGCTGCTGGACATAATCAACTGTACCCTGGTCTGTTTCCAGTCGTCTTGAATAAGTCATGCCATTGGCTCAAATTTAAAGTAAAAATTTTCCTATTTTTATTTTTGTGTGGCATTTTTAAAATAACAATGAGATAAGAATATCAAGCTGTGTTTCTTTCAGATGCCCTTTCTTATAAAAATTACAATAAATCTAAATTGTGATTATACATTGTGGCGCATACCTAAACTTAGTTTTGCATCATTTCGGAGAGCAACAGAATTTAGGTTCTCTTGACCTTGTTATGTTCATACAAATACTATATTTTAAGTTGATAACAACTAGTATTGTTGTTTCTTATTATATTGTTTAAATTTTAAACTATTTTTCCGTTTAAATCCTTCATTAATAAATTAATTTTAAAACAAATATATTTCCATTCAGAGAGGTGGCCGTCACAAAAAGCAGGTATAATTACCTTCTTAAATATTTCCAAGTTATACCAGATGCAAAAGAGAAATAATACTATTTTGTAGCAAAGCTCAAAATAACAACTTTTATAACATGTGTAAAAATCATATGCAAAAATTGTACTTAATAAATACATTTTAAAGCATGATGACATTAAATGACATTATACAATTGACACCCTGCCCTATTTTAAAAGTTGATAATATATTTTAAAGAAATAGAACTTCAAAAAATAGGCCTTTATAACGATAGTAAGCTCATTAAATTTAGTATTGATCAAAGTACACGCCCCACTTTTCCCCAGAATGTAAGTCTAAACTAAATATTTAGCAAAAAATAAATAAACAAATAATAAAAAGTGATACTACCAGTCAAAACACTAGTATGTAACAGTGAACAGCGTCAAATATATTTAGCGTAGCTATTTTTCATTGGTTCCACCTTTACCTTCTTTTAATAGGTAGGCTACATTACAAGTCTTAAAAAATAAAATATAAAAAACACGTTATAATTATGACAGCACCTGTTGTTTTTTTGCTGTTGTTGTTTTTCAATTATATTTTGCCTTATTTTAACACATTTTTATTCGGGGTGAGACGGGAAGCTGACTTGCTTCTCCCCTCCCAGAGATGCAAAAAATTAACACTGGTAGTAAACGCTAATAAATTTAAATTAAACAACCCTTACAAGTTTGTCGTATAAGTCCTTTATAAAATATAATATCGAGCAATGGGGGTGAGACTGAACACTTGACAAAACGTGCATACAGCAAAAGAGTTACAAAAAGGACATTAAGACGTTTGATAAAATAGATTATGTGTGTATATATATTTATATATATATATATATATA